GGATTAGTTACATTCCAATTTATAGCAATCACGTGCTTCTTTGCCTATGTAAATAGGTACAGGTATACCTACACTGTAACACGAATTTCGCGATGTTTATGTTTTATAGAGACTTACAACGCGGCTGTATTTTCGTTTCGTTCAATGATCATTTTCGGTCTTTGATCCAAACTAGACAATCTGTGTTTGAACCTAACTTCTAGGGATTTTCAGTTAAAAGCGAATTCGCATTATTTCAGAAAGTAAGCTTTAAAAATGCTTTTGTTGTCCACAGAAGGCAGCTGCGATCTCGTGCGATGCGGCGGCGATAAACGCTGCGTTTTGGACGCGGAGTTGGGCGCGCATTGCGTGCGTTGCGGATCGTGCAACGTTGCGGGCGCGCCGGTGTGCGCGGTGGACGGACGCACTTACGCCGGCTTCTGCGCTTTGAGGAAGGCGGCTTGCGAGCGGGGCAGAGCCCTGCCGTTGGCTTATAGAGGGCCTTGCATGGGTGAGTTAGGAGTTAAAGCACCACTATTTAAAATATCTTGGTATCTAAATAAACGAAATGGTGCAGGCAGGCCAGCAAAGATAGAGTTACCGACAGAATAGTCCGACAATAGTCGTATCTTACTCTTTAGCCGCTAGATTTAGGCCTAAACTTGTTTGATTGCTATAGCAGTTCACTGTCACAGAAAGAAAAAGTCCCCTTTATCATACAAAATCTACGGGAGAGTCGTATGTCACTTGACTAGGGTGTCCAGGTCCACTAACCTATTTCTTAGTGATGTCTGGTCCCAGATTCTTGTCCCAATAAAATGTAACGACAATCTTCGTTTAGATTTTCCCTAACATAATTAAATCTCTTTCTCGCAGCGAACGCGACGTGCGCATCAATAAAGTGCGGGCCCGGCCAGCGCTGCATGTCGGGCGGGGCCAGCGGCGCTCGATGCGTGTCATGCGGCGCGTGCGAGGGCGGGCGAGCACGCCGCCAGCTGTGCGGGTCCGATGCACGCACTTACGCTTCGTGGTGCCAGCTGCAGCGAGCCGCGTGCCATGCCGGACGCGTGGTCGATCCGCTGCATCCTGGCGCTTGCAGAGGTAACTAAAACTCCTTTTTTTCCTCCTCCTTTTGTCTGCTAGCTTTTTTTTAAGGGACGCGCGCTGGTAGCTTGAATAGCTTTTCCAGCTTCACCGGGCAGAGTGGCGAGTACAGAAGGTACTCTAGCATATCGAGCGCATAAGGCGCCCGATCAGTGGCAAACCCAACTAGAGGGTTGCTCACCGTGGTGTTGGATCAAAGTCCAACCTACGGCGGGCTCATTCTAGTGGGCCCGATCGAGGGGACAACGGACGCGGCCTGAGGGCGCCACGCTAGGCTCGGACCTCGGCTCAGGCCGTGTGTTGTGTCACTAGTTGTGTTTTAAACTGGCGGTCAAGCTGTGGATCAGCAACAGATCAGTGCAGAGGTGTGAATAGTCCCGTTTAGCTTTTGTCGTGTGTCTTTTGTCTTGTGGTCGATCCGCTGCACCCTGGCGCTTGCAGAGATAACTAACAACTGTTTTACTTCTTACTAGTTTTTGGCTGTTGGCCTTCACTGGTTGGGTTTTTACTGGCGGTCAAGCTGTGGATTAGAGATGAGACGTATTTACTAGAACAGATCCACACACTAGGTATTTTACAGTACTAAGTGGCACCTATTCCAATTTTTAAAATACTTGATCCACCTAGTATTTTTTAAATTACACGATTTCCGACCCTACCATCAAAGTAATAGAGGTTATTATTGCATAATCCGTAGTCGTGTATTACGCGCACCGCGTATTTCTCGCTAAGCTTATGTGCGAACGTAGAGATTCACTCCGTCTCTGTCTGACAAACAAATTTGAGCGCAGGCAGGTGTGAGATAGGAATAGCCTGTTGAAGTATGAAGGGAGGATATCAATAAATCAACAGCCAGCAAAAACATTATTATTCAATTTCAAATTGCATTATTAATACTACGGTTGTATCTTTTCAAAGAAAATTGTATTTTAAAGTCATAATACGTGGATTAGTCCGCACTAGTCGCGTCAAGTATGGTAAATTACTACGTACTAGGTGGAATAGGTATTTGGATCAAGTATTAATAAATACTTGGAATAGGTGCACCTAGTATCAAATTTACCTAGTATAACCCATCTCTACTGTGGATCCTGGCTACACAGGAGTTGCAGCAGTGTATATTCCCAATTAGCTCTCGACTACTGCACCTGGGCGCTTGTAGATGTACTTTTCTAGGCCTTTGTATCCTCAGCATTGGGTAAGCGTCGTGACATGAAATCACTCTGCGTGATCCTGGTCCGGCTTTTCTCTCTATCTCTACAATGCCACATGTTCGTTGATCCCTATTACTAATAGGTGTTATTAACGTGTATCACAGTTCCATAATCTGTGTATTGGCATCTATTTTTTTTTAATCAAACTATGGACGTGATTGGCTTACTCCAAAACGAACATCTTAGGTGATTACTACGTAGCTGCGTAGGTAATATTAAGTTCCTTTTTCTTTTTCAGGAAGTAAAAATGTAACGGACAATAGAGTGAGCCGCGAGCGCAGAGACAGCGACGTCGACTCCAGCCGCGCGCTATAGTCGGCTTCATCCGACTTGCACATCTTCCCTAGACATTACAGATAATCCACAACTTTTTCAAAACTCCATTTGTCATAGAAAATATTGGTAAAACCCTCTACAATCATAATCACATAAGTCCTACGAATTTCTCTCTCCTCTTGGCAATATTCGTGTTAAACCTTTGAGCTAGATGTTAGGTCACAAAGATTTTTTCATCTTAATGTATTAGGTATTAGATAAAATAATTCAAGCAGATTGTAGTTCTGAGGAAAACCCCATTTTAAAATGCAATAGGTAGGTAATTTAATTCTCTTCAAACTCGGGGTAGCGCCCGACCTTTTAGTATTTTATAATCAATTGTTAAAATTAGCGAGCTCAATTAGAGGAATCATTTTTGATTCGTCACGATTCATATAATCTGAACGACCACTTGTACCAAATCACCTTGTCAAAGTCATCTTCGTGGCAAGTTTATGAACTTTGAAACTACTGTAGTTAGCGTAGAATTAGAAAAATCTATTGAAACTGATGCACATTTTTCAAACTTTGTAGATAAATAATAATTCTTATTAATAATTAACACTTACATTATTAAATTTGAGCACCAAATCGTACTTAATATTTAGTCAAAATATTACATAGGGAGTGTAGTTAGCACAATGTTTGGATTGTAGTATATTTTGATGAAATTCTAACTTTTCTCTTGTTGAATGTATGTTTGAAGCTTATTTTATGGATGAAATTTAATAACTTTTTCATCGGACTGACATAATTGTTCTTAATTTTAAAATAACTCTAGTGTTTTAAGACTTAATCTTACTTTACGAAATGTGGTTAACGCTTATTGCAATATTTATTATATTAAGTTATGGATATGATGTTAGTGCAATAATTTTATTGAGAACTGTATGAAATTTATGTTACGTGTTTTGTTTTGTTTTTTTCATGAGTCGATTCAGATAGCGTAAAATCTATTCGGACAAGTCTAGTGTTATAGATACGTTTTCAGTATTACGTGTGTATGTTAGATTTGTAGTAGATATTTTAATCTTCAAAACTTAACACTGGAATTTCGAATGGTTATCGAGACTGTGGTTAAAAGTAATTTATTGTTACTTTACTCATTTTAAAACATTTCTGAGTCTGAGTATGTTTGAATTGTTTCAATTAAGATAATCATCAAATGAATATGCATTGAATCTTGTCACTAGTAGGGAAATAACTTTCTTGGCGTCCTCTTAGCTTTAAAATTTTATTTTTGTACACATTTTAAAAACATTTCTGCTGGTCTGCTACCAGTGTAAAAAATACATTCTAAATAATAGTGATTTATTTGCTATTAAGTTTGCATTATCAAAATTGTTTGTGGTGACTTGAGGTAAATTATTTAAATAATTATTTGCCCTAATTATTTTAGGAGTAATTTTTGATGATAGTCACCTAAATTCCAAAGAGTTCCCAAATTAAAAATTCGTCACACAACTAAAAATTATGAAATTTGTTCCTCGTTAATATACGTAAATAGTATGATGATTAATGTTATTCTATGTTATTCGTCATTGAGTTGTCAATTAAGTAAAGTAAGTAATGCTTTTTCTTGTATTATGGACAGACTAATTGTAACGTATAAGTTGATTCTCGTCAATTACTTCCTAGTTCTAATCAAGTTGTTAATTGTATCTGACTATAATAATACTAAATTGTTGTAGTTAAACTCATTGCAAACATTAGATGATGTATAATATATTGTCCCTGTTTCTTCATAAATATTTTACACAGAATTTTGTATTTTATTTTTTATAAATCAACCTCTTAACCTTTTAAAACCAATCAAGTATCATTCATTGGTATCTTTTACAAAAATGAAATAAAGTAAAAAATATTTTTAACACTATTTATTTGATAGTAAATATCTTTCGTAAACCACATAACCATCATAGACTTACGTTTGTAAATCAGTTACATGTGATATTTAGTCATTATGATACAATATTGTTCAATTACTGACACATTCGAAATTAATTGATACACATACACTTTGTTTCTTACTTTTTCACTATTTGGAATGCATATTTAAAATATTTTCTCTTCAAATGTTTGTATTAATTAAATCTATGGATTTATTACACCGATTTTACTATTTTCTCATTATTACAAAATGTCAAAGATTAGCTAAAATGTCAATTAAATGTAATTTTGAAAATAATGTGAGATTGCACAGTTCTATTATTACAAAAATAAACTTATCGAGGAACTACACAAAACTTACATTGATCGTACAATTACTCTTAACGTTAAAATTGAAGTTCAAAAGTAGAAAACATGCAGAAGTTTCAGTTCAAAATACTCTCGTTTAATAGAAATATATTTACCCATCAGCTTTTACAACCCTAATTGTTTTGCCACAATAAATATCCTAGATTCATCGTTCACTGTAACATCACTGTACATACACACTTCACTGATTCACTTCAATCCGATTAGCACTCCTGATCTTGCTGCATCGTTGTCCGAGTGAAGAGTTCCATGGTGAGAGCAGAGAGGAACAGTGGGATGGAACGGTGATGGTGGAGATGTAGTTCCACCAGCTCACCAAGCGTAGACGAGTAATCGGTGTGCACCATCTCGATGCCATCGTCACAAAGCTTGAAGGTGAGGTACTCGTCTGCTGACTCAGCATACATGTTTGATATTCTGGAAAGCGATAGAAAATCCTGTAGAGTATATTCCTGCTATGTTGGCAAGTCTTTTGAAATTAGATAGACAAAAAAACAAATTCCTCATAGTCCTCACATACAACCCGGCGAGCTAACTGCGCACCCGGGTGACCGTGACGTCACAACGACAGGCGAACGCAGGAAAGTCGCATTCCTGCAAGGTGTGCAGTTAGCTCTATCGGGTTGTAAGTCTTATAGCTGGGGTTAGTAATAAGAAAATATCATTACAACACAAAAAAAAGTTAATCCTTACCTATAATTTTTATGGCCAGTTCTATCTATTTTATAACCTAGAAGCATATAACAGACGTCTCTATATTCTTGTGCTGACGAAGTGAATTCTTCCTTCATCCTGAAATAAATGGGGATAAGTGGAATAAGAAATAAAGACAAGAACATTTTAACGTTAGTGCCTAATTAAGAGAAAAATAATATAATTACACTAGTGGGTGGGCATATCTAGAATATATGAAAACGTAATTGATTAAACATTAAGCATCTTATGTAGTCGTAATAGGTGCTAGTTTTCAACAAATCTGTACCTTTTGAGCTTGATGTCTCGGTTCTCGAGCTGTTGCCGCAGCGCCTGCGTGTCCGCATCGGAGCAGGCGCGCGAGCCGCCTTCACGCAGCGCCGCTTTTAACTGCTTTATCTGCACAAACAAGTTTATTAGTATTTGTAGTAAAATAAAAAAAGCGTCAGCGGTTACGGATTTAAATTCCCGCTGGGGGTAATTTGTAGGTTGAGCTTTGGCAGTGTTTTAGTATGCAAAGCGATTAAGAATAACTTAAATCCAACATTTGGTCCTTCGAGCCGGATACGACGAACCAGAGACATACAGCTAAGTAAGTAATGTTGGAGCATATTATTAGGGTTGTTTGTCGTTATTAGCATCTACAGCAAAACAGTAATATGTAATGTAATAGTTACCTCTTCTTGTGCGGCTTCCAAGTCCAATTGGAATTGTTTTTGTGCGGCGGCTGCGGGATTGTCAGCCAGGTGAAGCACCTAGAAATAACATTTCAATTACTAATACCGTAAACAACACAGCAATTTCCTCAATCAATATTGTACCTTATACTCAACACAGAAAGTTCAAAATCCTTTGAAGGAGAAGTAGTAAGTTAATATGCTATCGTACCTTGGTTCCCTGGCTGCTCCCAAGGCGTTCGACATGCGCTTGCAGCATGTCCCGCTGCGAGCGAAACTTCTGCACGTCGCGACGGAGGGACTCCGCCTCTTCGCGCCACTTGGTCACTTCGTTGCGGAGACTTTCTACCACTGTTATGAAGAATAAATTCATTATTTTCAGCGTTATCGAACTTTTATCAGGGATCAAAATCAATAGTCGTTCTTTATTGTGCGAAGTTTGGAATCGGAACAGTAACTTTGAGGAAGGTTTAAAACAACTCCGTGAAATACAGAATCGTAATAATTGTATGCGCACTTGAAGTGATGATACTTCTGTAAAGGTGCCTAGACTTGAGGTAAGTAAACAAAGAATTTATGCAACATGATGCCATAATATGAAGATGAACGAAAATGACGTAAAAAAATACTTTGATAAATATATTGCCACCATAATTTAAACCTTATTCAATTGTCATAAGGTTGGAAACTTACCATTAGTGGGCGCATGTTGATCATGAGTGGCCAGAAGGTCGCCCTACAGAGCCTCCTATAGTCTAGAGCGACTGTGCGACTGGCACCCGCAGTGAGTGTGCGAGCGCGATAGCAACATGATTACGCGCGAGCGATAAGGATGGTTAGCTTGGGGTCATTGGACAAAATTCTACGTGCTCACGGACCAGGCTTTAGATAAGGTTCAAAATGCCGTAACTTTCCTGTAAAGCGTTTAACTTACTTTTAGTGTGCGCGTGTTGATCATGAGTGGCCAGCAGGTCCCGGTAGCCTTGTAGAGCCTTCTCCAGCTGTTCCACGCGCGCTGATAATAAAGCAGCGTTTCCCGCGCCGGTTTCGCCGCACAGAGTCACCGATAACTCACCATTAGTGGGCGCATGTTGATCGTAAGTGGCCAGCTGGTCGCTGTAGCCCTACAGAGACTCCTAGATAAGATTCAAAATGCCGTAACTTTCCTGTAATACTTTGAACTTACTTTTAGTGTGCGCGTGTTGATCGTGAGTGGCTAGCAGGTCCCGGTAGCCTTGTAGAGCTTTCTCCAGCTGTTCCACGCGCGCTGAGAGCAAGGCAGCGCTGCCCGCGCCCGTCTCACCGCATAGCGTCACCGATAACTCTCCATTAGTGGGCGCATGTTGATCATGAGTGGCCAGCTGGTCGCTGTAGGCCCTACAGAGCCTCCTAGATAAGGTTCAAAATGCCGTAACTTTCCTGTAATACTTTAAACTTACTTTTAGTGTGCGCGTGTTGATCATGAGTGGCTAGCAGGTCCCGGTAGCCTTGTAGCGCCTTCCAGCTGTTCCACGCGCGCTGAGAGCAAGGCAGCGCTGCCCGCGCCGGTTTCGCCGCATAGAGTCACCGATAACTCTCCATTAGTGGGCGCATGTTGATCATGAGTGGCCAGCTGGTCGCTGTAGGCCCTGCAGAGCCTCCTAGATAAGGTTCAAAATGCCGTAACTTTCCTGTAAAGCGTTTAACTTACTTTTAGTGTGCGCGTGTTGATCGTGAGTGGCTAGCAGGTCCCGGTAGCCTTGCAAAGCCTTCTCCAGCTGTTCCACGCGCGCTGAGAGCAAGGCAGCGCTGCCCGCGCCGGTTTCGCCGCATAGAGTCACCGATAACTCCTTTTCGTAGCAGTCTAGCTGTTGTCTGAGAGAAAAATAGTAATTAAATACTGAGACATAGTCTGTAGCCGTATAGTTTTGAGCGATTTTAACAAGATGGGTGTCACCACTCAACACTAAATAGGCTATGAACAATGACATACAAAAAAAGATAGGTTATGTATACGCCCATATTATAGTGACGCAAGTAGTCCTATACAGTATAGGACTACTAGTATAGGCTATACTAGCTATAGATGAACTAAATTGAATCGTCCCACCTGTGACATTGACAGGGGGCGCCACCGTCAATACCGGATCGTTGGTTCCTATATTTGCCACGTAGGAAAACACTGAAATTTCATTTGCAGGAGGGAATTGTTATCATCTGGGTTACTATTTCCAATTTTTGCCATTTGACTTTTCAAAATCGTTCAACTATACGTACAGCTATTTAATACGACATTTGGGGAAGAAAACAGAAAAATTATAGGTAAAACCGGTTGTTACACAAATATTTTTTTATTCTTTTATAATTGGATTCACATTCCAGATTTTGTAACACAAAACAAGAAATCACTTCTGTTATTTGAAGACATAGCAACTCACCTATAGCTATCCCGCTCCCTCGTGACAAGCAGCAGCCGCTTCTGCAGCCGGTGTATGAGGCTCTCCTGATTCTTCCGCACCGTGGTCAAGTCATTCAGCTTGGTGGTGGCCTTGTCTCGCTCGTATTTGATTGTAGCTACATCCTAGAAAATGTATTAGTAGGTAAGGAAACTGCTAAAAAAAAAAAATATTTACCAAAATAAGCTAACATGAAAATCTGAACTGCAATTATAGCTGTTGAGATACGATTGCGCAGTGATGCGACATCAATGCGCGATGCGCAAGTATTTAGCAGTAGCCGTGAGCTGGGTGTTTAGTGACGCTCATGATTTCCACTTAATAATATTTTACCGTGTGCTGATTTTTAGGGCCATTGGTATGCTGCAAATGCGGGCTACACACCATCTAATAATCTCTTTCCATGCCTCCTCGCTCCTTCTTCTGTCTACACAGCAGATACATTAGTGAGCTGCGCCTGCGTGTAACCTTGGCGGCGCACTGTGGCAGACGAGGCGAAGAAGATCGGCAAGACTTGGAGCGAGATCAAACACATAGCTCAAGACCGAACGCGATGGAGGACTGTTGTGGACGCCCTCTGCCCCATCTAGGGGACATAGGACCATAAGTCAAGTAAGTCAAGCCTGCGTGTAACCGGCGGTAATGATGGTAAGCTGTGAATGCGATCTACACACTATACCGCCTGGTAATCTCTCCTTACTTCTCCCTCGTACTCCTCGCTAACCGTTCGTTTCAGCCGAAAGACGTCCACAGCTGGACAAAGGCCTCCCCCAAGGATTTCCACAAAGACCGGTCCTGCGCCGCTCGCATCCAGGCACCTCCCGCGATCTTCACCAGATCGTCGGTCCACCTAGTGGGAGGCCTGCCCACGCTACGTCTTCCAGCTCGTGGTCGCCACTCAAGAACTTTCCTGCCCCAGCGGCCATCAGCTCGCCGAGCTATGTGCCCCGCCCACTACCACTTGATTTTAGCGATTCTGCGGGCTATGTCAGTCACTCTGGTTCTCCTACGGATCTCCTCATTTCTGATTCGATCACGCAGGGAAACTATGAGCATAGCACTCTCCATCGCTCTTTGGGTGACCTTGCTAACCATTATTCTCATACCCCACGCAAAATGTACCTCAGTGAGCTGCGTCCGCGCCTGCGAACAGCCCGTTGTATACGATAAACTGGCTGCCGAAAGCCATAGATGCGAGCTACACGCCACGCCGCCTAGTAATCTCCCCTCACTCCTTCTTCCCCTCACTACACTTCTCACAACACACAGCACCTACCTCAGTGAGATGCGCCTACGCCTGCGAGCAGCCAGCGGTGGCGGTGAGCTGGCTGCTGAGCTGTGTGTGACTGCGAGATACACACTGCAACCTAGTAATCTCTTCCCGCATGTCTATCTCACTCACTTATGAAGCAAGGAGACTTTTTTCTCATACCCTACCCATTACTTACCTCGGTGAGCTGAGCCAGCTGCGTCTGCGCCTGCGAGCAGCCGGCGGTGGCGGTGAGCTGGCTGCTGAGCGCCGCGTCCAGCGCCGCCGCCAGCGATGACAGACTACACTCCCTCTAGTGACTCTCCTCACATCTGTCTCACTCCACCTACCTCGGTGAGCTGAGCCAGCTGCGTCTGCGCCTGCGAGCAGCCGGCGGTGGCGGTGAGCTGGCTGCTGAGCGCCGCGTCCAGCGCCGCCGCCAGCGATGACAGACTACACTCCCTCTAGTGACTCTCCTCACATCTGTCTCACTCCACCTACCTCGGTGAGCTGAGCCAGCTGCGTCTGCGCCTGCGAGCAGCCGGCGGTGGCGGTGAGCTGGCTGCTGAGCGCCGCGTCCAGCGCCGCCGCCAGCGATGACAGACTACACTCCCTCTAGTGACTCTCCTCACATCTGTCTCACTCCACCTACCTCGGTGAGCTGAGCCAGCTGCGTCTGCGCCTGCGAGCAGCCGGCGGTGGCGGTGAGCTGGCTGCTGAGCGCCGCGTCCAGCGCCGCCGCCAGCGATGACAGACTACACTCCCTCTAGTGACTCTCCTCACATCTGTCTCACTCCACCTACCTCGGTGAGCTGAGCCAGCTGCGTCTGCGCCTGCGAGCAGCCGGCGGTGGCGGTGAGCTGGCTGCTGAGCGCCGCGTCCAGCGCCGCCGCCAGCGATGACAGACTACACTCCCTCTAGTGACTCTCCTCACATCTGTCTCACTCCACCTACCTCGGTGAGCTGAGCCAGCTGCGTCTGCGCCTGCGAGCAGCCGGCGGTGGCGGTGAGCTGGCTGCTGAGCGCCGCGTCCAGCGCCGCCGCCAGCGATGACAGACTACACTCCCTCTAGTGACTCTCCTCACATCTGTCTCACTCCACCTACCTCGGTGAGCTGAGCCAGCTGCGTCTGCGCCTGCGAGCAGCCGGCGGTGGCGGTGAGCTGGCTGCTGAGCGCCGCGTCCAGCGCCGCCGCCAGCGATGACAGACTACACTCCCTCTAGTGACTCTCCTCACATCTGTCTCACTCCACCTACCTCGGTGAGCTGAGCCAGCTGCGTCTGCGCCTGCGAGCAGCCGGCGGTGGCGGTGAGCTGGCTGCTGAGCGCCGCGTCCAGCGCCGCCGCCAGCGATGACAGACTACACTCCCTCTAGTGACTCTCCTCACATCTGTCTCACTCCACCTACCTCGGTGAGCTGAGCCAGCTGCGTCTGCGCCTGCGAGCAGCCGGCGGTGGCGGTGAGCTGGCTGCTGAGCGCCGCGTCCAGCGCCGCCGAGAGCCCGCGAGCGCTGTCCACGCCGTGCGCGCGCGCTGATGACTTCCACTCTTCCAACGCCGACTCCAGAGCGGCGATTTTGACCTGAAACCGATAGTTGGTTAAAATAGCTCATTACAACACCGTACCAGGATGGGTAATCATGTACATGGTGAGCACAAACATTTACTTCCTGTTTAAAACACAATAAATTCTATAAAAAAGCGCCGGTGTCGCATCTGCGCGGCCCCAACCCAACGCTTTTTTCGGACAAGTGACGCGTGATTGCGTCTACCCCGAATCGAATTGGGTTTCTTCGACCATTGGCCGGTGCGAGCTGGCGATAAGTCGACATTTGAAAGATACTAGTGGGGGAGAGGCCTAATAATACATAAT